GGAGGGGGTCCCATGAGTGGTTTCTTACCCCCTATTCTAACCCTAACCCTAACCCTGGAATTACTGGGAACGACCTGCAAAACTAATAAAAAATTAACCAACAATACCTACCTGGACCTACACTCACTTATCCAACCCTATCCTGACCCCCAACCCTAAACGTAACCCATTTATTCAACTGACCTAGACCTACCCATTCTTTTAACCATCTTGACCCCTGACCACCATGACAATTTATGTCAACAATTTATGTTTTATTATTTAATCCCGCCTTAGCATTAAATTCAATCTATTTGTTTTGTATCAAGGTCCACCCTGATCCCTCCCAAAGGTTAACCCACATTCACACCCATGGCTCACATTCCCTGTCCACCATTGCACATCCATAATATTATTCATCCTCCCTTCCTCCATCACCAGCTGTTCCACAACAGAAGACAGGTGTGTCTCCCCCACACAGGTGGAGACCAGCCCCAATCATCCTACCAACCAATCCTGTTAGAGGAAGAGAGAATAAGAGGCCAGTCCTCCCACACTTCTGGTTCAGTCTGAACAGCCTTCCAGACAGTGCACATCGTGAACAGCTCTCTCACAAACGTGCTATCATTTTGTTTTACACCTGATGAAGACCAGTCACGGTCGAAACGTCCTGTTTTTATCCTCAATATAGCACCTTTTAACCCGCGCAATTTTTATATTCCATTTAGACCTTAAAGGTCTCTCATTTGTCTCCCTCATAAAGGAGACAATCTGAATTTTAACCCTTTTAATTTCTTTTGAATTAAAATCTTAAAAAAAAAAAAAAAAAAAAAAAAACTACAAAATGCCAGAGTATAACTGGACTCCAACACTCAGACCCATACGATACTCACCATACGCCTGCAATGGTCCACAGGGGACCCACTTGCACTATGGTCTGTCCACACGCGACCATAGAGCCCACAGCCGCAGTCCCCCCTGGGCCTGCGAGAGAGAGGTCTGGTTTGTGCCTGTGCGACCTTCGGAACAGATTTTGACCTTAGAATTTCAAAGGTCAAAATTCAAATTTGGTACACGCCTATTTCAACACAGTCCGACCGAAAATCTAAAGTTTCAATTTAAATTCTTATTGTAAAATTAAATGTATTAATTAAATTTAAAATGGTTTCGACAGGATTTGATCCCGCAATGACGGCACTTAAGTCCCTCACCTTACCCACTAGGCCATCAATTGACTTGTGAATTTTCGGGGTTAACTTGATTTGATACCTGACCTCATCCCAGAAGATGGTATATCCATCCATCCATCCATTTTCTACCCTTTAATCCATTTCTGGGTCAGGGGGGTGGCAGTCAGAGATGCCACCCAAATCTCATAGCACCAGCCCCTCACTGATCCTCTGCGGGTGGTGAGTCCACAGGAGCTGAGATCTTCCAGCGGGGGCTTTGGGCAAAGTGGGGTTAAGTGTCTTGCCCAAGGACACAACAACAGCAGTCATCAGTGGGAGTCGGTGGAGAAGGTGTAGAGGTGGGGGTTGAACCCACGACCTTCTGGCCTTAAGGCCAATGCTCTACCAACTGAGCTACACTCTAAAAAAAAATGCATTGGCAAAACTTAATAAAATTGAGGCAGCATTTTGCATGCATCTTTGTAAGTCTTTTCTCATTGGTCCAACTCAAATCTTTAGATAATTTCAGCAAGTGTTTTAGCACATGTGTCAGAGCAACCTGTATACGCACATGTGTCAGAGCACCTGTATACACACATGTGTCAGAGCACCTGTATACGCACATGTGTCAGAGCACCTGTATACGCACATGTGTCAGAGCACCTGTATACGCACATGTGTCAGAGCACCTGTATACGCACATGTGTCAGAGCACCTGTATACGCACATGTGTCAGAGCACCTGTATACACACATGTGTCAGAGCACCTGTATACACACATGTGTCAGAGCAGCCTGTATCACACTGTAGGCCTACGCACATGTGTCAGAGCACCTGTATACGCACATGTGTCAGAGCACCTGTATACGCACATGTGTCAGAGCACCTGTATACACACGTGTCAGAGCACCTGTATACGCACATGTGTCAGAGCACCTGTATACGCACATGTGTCAGAGCACCTGTATACGCACATACAGCACATGTGTCAGAGCACCTGTATACGCATATGTGTCAGAGCACCTGTATACACATGTGTCAGAGCACCTGTATACACACATGTGTCAGAGCACCTGTATACACACATGTGTCAGAGCACCTGTATCACCTGTATACGCACATGTGTCAGAGCACCTGTATACACACATGTGTCAGAGCACCTGTATACACACATGTGTCAGAGCACCTGTGTGCACACATCTGTCAGAGCGGCTGTATACACACATCTGTCAGAGCACCTGTATACACACATGTGTCAGAGCACCTGTATACGCACATGTGTCAGAGCACCTGTATACGCACATGTGTCAGAGCACCTGTATGCACACATGTGTCAGAGCACCTGTATGCACACATGTGTCAGAGCACCTGTATACACACATGTGTCAGAGCACCTGTATACACACATGTGTCAGAGCACCTGTATACACACATGTGTCAGAGCACCTGTATACGCACATGTGTCAGAGCACCTGTATACACACATGTGTCAGAGCACCTGTGTGCACACATCCGTCAGAGCGGCTGTATACACACATCTGTCAGAGCACCTGTGTACGCACATCTGTCAGAGCGGCTGTGTGCACACATGTGTCAGAGCGGCTGTATACACACATGTGTCAGAGCACCTGTATACACACATGTGTCAGAGCACCTGTATCACCTGTATACGCACATGTGTCAGAGCACCTGTATATACACATGTGTCAGAGCACCTGTATCACCTGTATACGCACATGTGTCAGAGCACCTGTATCACCTGTATACACACATGTGTCAGAGCACCTGTATACGCACATGTGTCAGAGCACCTGTATACGCACATGTGTCAGAGCACCTGTATACACACGTGTCAGAGCACCTGTATACACACATGTGTCAGAGCACCTGTATACACACATGTGTCAGAGCACCTGTGTGCACACATCTGTCAGAGCACCTGTATACACACATGTGTCAGAGTACTTGTATCACCTGTATACGCACATGTGTCAGAGCACCTGTATACACACATGTGTCAGAGCACCTGTATACACACATGTGTCAGAGCACCTGTATACACACATGTGTCAGAGCACCTGTGTGCACACATCTGTCAGAGCGGCTGTATACACACATCTGTCAGAGCACCTGTATACACACATGTGTCAGAGCACCTGTATACGCACATGTGTCAGAGCACCTGTATACGCACATGTGTCAGAGCACCTGTATGCACACATGTGTCAGAGCACCTGTATACACACATGTGTCAGAGCACCTGTATACACACATGTGTCAGAACACCTGTATACACACATGTGTCAGAGCACCTGTATACGCACATGTGTCAGAGCACCTGTATACACACGTGTCAGAGCACCTGTATCACCTGTATACGCACATGTGTCAGAGCACCTGTATACACACATGTGTCAGAGCACCTGTATACACACATGTGTCAGAGCACCTGTATACACACATGTGTCAGAGCACCTGTGTGCACACATCTGTCAGAGCGGCTGTATACACACATCTGTCAGAGCACCTGTGTACACATGTGTCAGAGCGGCTGTATACACACACATGTGTCAGAGCGGCTGTATACACACATGTGTCAGAGCGGCTGTATACACACATGTGTCAGAGCACCTGTATACGCACATGTGTCAGAGCACCTGTATACGCACATGTGTCAGAGCACCTGTATACACACATGTGTCAGAGCACCTGTATACACACATGTGTCAGAGCACCTGTATACACACATGTGTCAGAGCACCTGTATACGCACATGTGTCAGAGCACCTGTATACGCACATGTGTCAGAGCACCTGTATCACCTGTATATGCACATGTGTCAGAGCACCTGTATACGCACATGTGTCAGAGCACCTGTATACACACATGTGTCAGAGCACCTGTATACACACATCTGTCAGAGCACCTGTATGCGCACATCTATCAGAGCACCTGTATACGCACATCTATCAGAGCGGCTGTATACACACATCTGTCAGAGCGGCTGTGTGCACACATCTGTCAGAGCACCTGTATACACATCTGTCAGAGCGGCTGTGTACACACATCTGTCAGAACACCTGTATACACATCTGTCAGAGCGGCTGTATACACACATCTGTCAGAGCGGCTGTATACGCACATCTGTCAGAGCGGCTGTATACACACATCTGTCAGAGCGGCTGTGTGCACACATCTGTCAGAGCGGCTGTATACACACATCTGTCAGAGCGGCTGTATACACACATCTGTCAGAGCGGCTGTATACACACATCTGTCAGAGCGGCGACTCTACCTGACTCTACGTAACTCTAGGTGACTCTAGGTGACTCTGCCTGACTCTGAATGACTCTGCGTGACTCTGCCAGACTCTAGGTGACTCTAGGTGACTCTGCGTGACTCTAGGTGACTCTACATGACTCTGCGTGACTCTAGGTGACTCTACGTGACTCTGACTCTACGTGACTCAACGTGACTCTACATGACTATGACTCTACCTGACTCTACGTGACTCTACCTGACTCTACGTGACTCTACCTGACTCTACCTGACGCTACCTGACGCTACCTGACTCTACCTGACTCTACCTGACTCTACCTGACTCTACGTGACTCTACGTGACTCTACCTGACTCTACGTGACTCTACGTGACTCTACCTGACTCTACCTGACTCTACGTGACTCTACGTGACTCTACGCTACTCTACCTGACTCTACCTGACTCTACCTGACTCTACCTGACTCTACCTGACTCTACGCTACTCTACCTGACTCTACCTGACTCTACCTGACTCAACCTGACTCTACCTGACTCTAGGTGACTCTAGGTGACTCTGGGGGAACCAGGCTTACGTCTCCCAGGCGCAGACACGTGCCCAGGGTGTGGATCACGTCCTCAGCCAGGTCCGAGTGCTCAGAGTCCCACACGAGGCCGATGGTGATGATCTCTGGACTGTTCAGGAGGACACGGGCCATACGCAGCTGCTGCCCACACTGGCTCTGAGGGACCAGAACGAGACCGAGGGAGAGAGTCAGGCTGAGAGAGAGAGACCAGAGAGAGGCCAGAGAGAGAGACCAGAGAGACCAGAGAGACCAGAGAGAGACCAGAGAGAGACCAGAGAGAGAGACCAGAGAGAGACCAGAGAGAGACCAGAGAGAGAGACCAGAGAGAGACCAGAGAGAGACTAGAGAGAGACCAGAGAGAGACCAGAGAGAGACCAGAGAGAGACCAGAGAGAGAGACCAGAGAGAGACCAGAGAGAGACCAGAGAGAGACCAGAGAGAGACCAGAGAGAGACCAGAGAGAGACCAGAGTATGTATCTGACTCACAGGACAGCTGCGCAGGTCTCCCATGCTGGCGTTCCTCAGCAGTTCTCCAAACATACTGGGAGTGGCCTTCTCCCTGGACTCCAGCATCTTCACGGCCTGGTTACTATGGACACACACACATGGTTACTATGGACACACACACATGGTTACTATGGACACACACATGGTTACTATGGACACACACACATGGTTACTATGGACACACACACATGGTTACTATGGACAGACACACCTGAGAGACCAGAAAGAGACCAGAGAGAGACCAGAGAGAAACCAGAGAGAGACCAAAGAGGGACCAGAGAGAGACCAGAGAGAGACCAGAGAGAAACCAGAGAGAGACCAAAGAGGGACCAGAGAGAGACCAGAGAGAGACCAAAGAGGGACCAGAAAGAGACCAGAGAGAAACCAGAGAGAGAGACCAGAGAAAGACCAGAGAGAGACCAAAGAGGGACCAGAAAGAGACCAGAGAGAAACCAGAGAGAGAGACCAGAGAGAGACCAGAGAGAGACCAGAGAGAGACCAGAGAGAGAGACCAGAGAGAGACCAGAGAGAGACCAGAGAGAGACCAGAGAGAGACCTGAGAGAGACCAGAGAGAGACCTGAGAGAGACCAGAGAGAGACCAGAGAGAGACCAAAGAGGGACCAGAGAGAGACCAGAGAGAGACCAAAGAGGGACCAGAAAGAGACCAGAGAGAAACCAGAGAGAGAGACCAGAGAAAGACCAGAGAGAGACCAAAGAGGGACCAGAAAGAGACCAGAGAGAAACCAGAGAGAGAGACCAGAGAGAGACCAGAGAGAGACCAGAGAGAGACCAGAGAGAGACTAGAGAGAGAGACCAAAGAGAGACCAGAGAGAGACCAGAGAGAGAGAGAGACCAGAGAGAGACCTGAGAGAGACCTGAGAGAGACCAGAGAGAGACCTGAGAGAGACCAGAGAGAGACCAGAGAGAGAGACCAGAGAGAGACCAGAGAGAGACCAGAGAGAGACCCGAGAGAGAGAGAGAGACCAGAGAGAGACCAGAGAGAGAGACCAGAGAGAGACCAGAGAGAGAGACCAGAGAGAGAGACCAGAGAGAGACCAGAGAGAGACCAGAGAGAGACCCGAGAGAGACCAGAGAGAGACCCGAGAGAGACCAGAGAGAGACCAGAGAGAGAGACCAGAGAGAGACCAGAGAGAGAGACCAGAGAGAGACCAGAGAGAGAGACCAGAGAGAGAGACCAGAGTGTTGCCCCAGGTTACAGGTCTCTAAGCAACATTTGAGGAGCTGCGGTGTCCTGGAATCACCTCATACATTAGAACTGTGTCCCTGTGGATCGGTGAAGACTGTCTACGTCAAGTCCAAGTCCGAGTCCAAGTCTACGTCCAAGTCTATTTCTAAGTCTATGTATGTCTATGTATAAGTTTGTATTTAACTCTTCAAAGACTATGTTAATGCTTTGCAAAACTGCCATTGGAACATGCTGGACTCTGGTCTACAGGATTGGAACATGCTGGACTCTGGTCTACAGGATTGGAACATGCTGGACTCTGGCATTGGAGTGGATTGGTACATTTATTAAAGATTTTAAAATATATAGTTAAGAAAAAGTCTAAGTCTGAGTCTTTGTCGAAGTCTACGTATAAGTCTAAGTCTAAGGTGGATCACTGACTTCCTGACGGACAGGAAGCAGCGAGTGCGTCTGGGGAAGAATGTCTCGGACTCTCGGATTATAAATACAGGAGCCCCACAGGGCTGTGTTCTTTCTCCCCTGCTCTTCTCCCTGTACACCAACCACTGCACCTCCTCTGCACCTCCTCCCACTGCACCTCCTCCCACTGCACCTCCAACCACTGCACCTCCAACCACTGCACCTCCAACCACTGCACCTCCAACCACTGCACCTCCAACCACTGCACCTCCAACCACTGCACCTCCAACCACTGCACCTCCTCCCACTGCACCTCCAACCACTGCACCTCCAGCCACGACTCCGTGAAGCTGATCAAGTTCGCGGACGACACCACCCTCATTGGACTCATCTCCAACAACGATGAGTCCGCCTACAGGAGGGAGGTGGACCGGCTGGTGTCCTGGTGTCTCCTACAGGAGGGAGGTGGACCGGCTGGTGTCCTGGTGTCTCCTACAGGAGGGAGGTGGACCGGCTGGTGTCCTGATGTCTCCTACAGGAGGGAGGTGGACCGGCTGGTGTCCTGGTGTCTCCTACAGGAGGGAGGTGGACCGGCTGGTGTCCTGGTGTCTCCTACAGGAGGGAGGTGGACCGGCTGGTGTCCTGGTGTCTCCTACAGGAGGGAGGTGGACCGGCTGGTGTCCTGGTGTCTCCTACAGGAGGGAGGTGGACCGGCTGGTGTCCTGGTGTCTCCTACAGGAGGGAGGTGGACCGGCTGGTGTCCTGGTGTCTCCTACAGGAGGGAGGTGGACCGGCTGGTGTCCTGGTGTCTCCTACAGGAGGGAGGTGGACCGGCTGGTGTCCTGGTGTCTCCTACAGGAGGGAGGTGGACCGGCTGGTGTCCTGGTGTCTCCTACAGGAGGGAGGTGGACCGGCTGGTGTCCTGGTGTCTCCTACAGGAGGGAGGTGGACCGGCTGGTGTCCTGGTGTCTCCTACAGGAGGGAGGTGGACCGGCTGGTGTCCTGGTGTCTCCTACAGGAGGGAGGTGGACCGGCTGGTGTCCTGGTGTCTCCTACAGGAGGGAGGTGGACCGGCTGGTGTCCTGGTGTCTCCTACAGGAGGGAGGTGGACCGGCTGGTGTCCTGGTGTCTCCTACAGGAGGGAGGTGGACCGGCTGGTGTCCTGGTGTCTCCTACAGGAGGGAGGTGGACCGGCTGGTGTCCTGGTGTCTCCTACAGGAGGGAGGTGGACCGGCTGGTGTCCTGGTGTCTCCTACAGGAGGGAGGTGGACCGGCTGGTGTCCTGGTGTCTCCTACAGGAGGGAGGTGGACCGGCTGGTGTCCTGGTGTCTCCTACAGGAGGGAGGTGGACCGGCTGGTGTCCCTGGTGTCTCCTACAGGAGGGAGGTGGACCGGCTGGTGTCCTGGTGTCTCCTACAGGAGGGAGGTGGACCGGCTGGTGTCCTGGTGTCTCCTACAGGAGGGAGGTGGACCGGCTGGTGTCCTGGTGTCTCCTACAGGAGGGAGGTGGACCGGCTGGTGTCCTGGTGTCTCCTACAGGAGGGAGGTGGACCAGCTGGTGTCCTGGTGTCTCCTACAGGAGGGAGGTGGACCGGCTGGTGTCCTGGTGTCTCCTACAGGAGGGAGGTGGACCGGCTGGTGTCCTGGTGTCTCCTACAGGAGGGAGGTGGACCGGCTGGTGTCCTGGTGTCTCCTACAGGAGGGAGGTGGACCGGCTGGTGTCCTGGTGTCTCCTACAGGAGGGAGGTGGACCGGCTGGTGTCCTGGTGTCTCCTACCAGGAGGGAGGTGGACCGGCTGGTGTCCTGGTGTCTCCTACAGGAGGGAGGTGGACCGGCTGGTGTCCTGGTGTCTCCTACAGGAGGGAGGTGGACCGGCTGGTGTCCTGGTGCAGTGGTAACAACCTGGAGCTGAACGCCCAGAAGACAGTGGAGATGATTGTGGACTTCAGGAAGAGCACTGTCCCCCCGCCCCCACCCTCCGTGATGGACTCCCCCATCACCTCTGTGGAGTCCTTCCGTTTCCTGGGCACCACCATCACCCAGGACCTCAAGTGGGAGCCGACCATCAGCTCCTCATCAAGAAGGCCCAGCAGAGGATGTACTTCCTGCGGCAGCTCAGGAAAGCCAAGCTGCAGTTCTACACGGCCATCATCGAGTCCATCCTCACCTCCTCCATCTAAGAAGAATGCTAAGGCGATGCATAGAGATGATTAGCCGCTGCTCCGCAGCCAAGCTACGAAGAAAGATCACGATTATAAAAGATATGATAAGGCGCATGAAAAGACGATGCTACAGAAGCAATGCTAGAAGATGATAAGCAAGAAAATGATAAGA